TGTAGAATGTCTGGCAAACTCTTCCATGAAGCAAGAACCCTTCAGTACTATCCATCTTATTTTGCAAGTTCAGTAGTCACTTTCCTTTGGGTCCTGCATGTACAGTTTATACAACAGTCAAACAGTCCAGGCAAGAGTGTTTCCTTGCCCAAATAGCTAGTCTCACCATATTGAAAGCAAACTCCATAATGAGTTTCTTTGATGCCCATCTTCCTCTCAGACATAATCAGTATTGCCAGGAGCAGTTGTATCTCACTGTCATGAAAAACCCTAAGCCATTTTAAATGTCATATACTCTAGGTCTTTGAAAGGTTTGAAGACTATCTATCCATCTCAAATATATCTCTGTATATCTAGAAAACATAATTAATCTAACTATAAGTTTTGACTATTATAGGTGACTATATACAATCTGTATTTAATTGTGCATTACGTCTTAAAAGGTCTGTATAAACACAATACCTAAACAAGAGGAGAAATATACATATCGCAAAATTGACCTTAAATTTGTATCAATAAATGAAAATCCATACCAATACAAAGTATTCATTTCTATACCATTTCCCCCTTTTTTCCTTTAAAAATAGATTGGCTGTTATCATTAACTATTTATAGCCAACCCCATTTAAATAAAAACAAACATTTATAAACAATATTTGGGAATGTGGGCGTCATTCCCTCCAAACCACTTTCTGCTGTTCAGGGGCGCTGTCATGGGGCTCCTAAGAAAACCCAGAAATCCTGACTGCATGGTCCCAGGTATATTTAGTGTTGGATCACCTGGGACACTGCTTGATCAAACCATGTTAGTCTGGAAGGAATCCACAGATTTTCATTTCTTGTGGAAACACAAACTAAACTTCTTTTCCAAAGTAACATGGCCTTATACTTAAATTTTGAAGTCAAGGCATTTTTAAAATATATAAATTGGATTATTCCAGCAGCATTTATTTTAGCAGTTGTTGCTATTTCCTCAGCAGTGAAACAATTCAAAGACAACATACGGTATCCAGACTCTCTGTGTATTTTCCATCCTTATGTGACTTATTTATTTATTTATTTATTTATGATTACTCTATTTCTTTTACTTTTATTTTTCTTTTTTTGAGACAGGGTTTCTCTGCGTAACTTTGACTGCCCTTGAACTCACTTTGTACACCAGGCTGACCTTGAAATCACAGAGATCTGCTTGCCTCTGCCTCCCGATTGCTGGGATTAAAGGAGTGTGCCAAAACCCCCAGCTACTCTATTTCTTTCTATTCTTTTTAGATTACTTTATCCTGTTTATTTTCTCTCACAAGCCTACATATATTTTTAAACACACTGTAAATCTTCTAGAGGTTTTACTTCATCTGAATCTGTCTTTACTGTAAGTCTTTATCTTTTTCTGGCCACAGGTCTATTATCTGCTAAACAACATTGCTAAACTCAAAGCAGCGGCTGTATTAGCCATTGGCTTTTAGACATGGCAGGCATAAGTTTACCATCAGCACTGGGAGCTGTGCTCACCACCTTGGTCAATGCTGCCATCAAGCAACGTGCTGTCAACTTAGAGATGTGGTCACTGCTAGTGTGCATACACACCATCAGTTGTTAGCAAGGACTCTTAAAAGAGCCATGCAGTTTTTCCATTTATGCTGAGTCTGGAAACCTCCATTAAAGGAGACGCCAAATCTTTGCTTGTGTCTAGCAAAACAGAGCCCACCCAAGAAAATGCTGCTATCAAGAAGCTGTGCTTGTCTCTGTTCTTTTGTTTCTAAAATCCCTTTTAAAACTGCTGTCAGATTGAAATTCATGCCACACATTGAGGGTGCCATTTTGTAATGTGAGCTTTCTCTGGCAAGGCAAGGTCTCACTGCCCTTCTCTGCCCCAAAGAAACACACAGATGCTATATTAGTTATAAGCTGTTGGCTGGAGATGGACTTCTTATTGTTAACCTATAACTACTAATCTACCCCAGCACTCGGGAGGCAGAGGCAGACGGATCTCTGTGAGTTCAAGGCTGGGCTGGACCGACAGCCTTGAAAACAATACAGAGAAACCCTGTCTCGTAAAAACCAAAAAAGAAAAAAAACTACTAATCTACGTGTTTCCTCATGGTCTTATCTTACCGGAGAAAAGGACCGCTTACTCCTCTGGCATTCTACAGCTCCACTGTTCAGTGTCTTCACAAAGGAAAAAAGGGAGCGATTTCCTGTTTGTCCCTGCTTATATTCTGATTCTGCCCAGCTACATTACTTCCTGCCTGACCAATCAGCCAATCGGTGTTTTATTCATTAACCAATAAGAGAAACATTTACACAGAAAGACTTCCCCCATCAAATTAATGAATTGAATAAAATAAGAAACTCTGAGCCAGTGTCAATATCAATTGAAATTTTAAGCAACACAATAAATGAAGAGAAGAAAAGTACTTTTTATGGTATAAAGCAAGTAATGAATGCAATGAGACTTAAAAATTATTAATTCAAGTCTATGTGGAGAAATAACTTTATGGTGGAGAAACCTAAAGAGAGCCTACTCATACGTGATGAACTGACCATGCCAACGGAAGCTACATGAGCCAGCACAGTGTGGTACAGCTCTGGGGAGGAGCACAGAGAAGCATGCAGCTTCCTTTCTATGGTGATTCTGCAAGATGCACCATATGAGCAACTATGAAGGAAAGTCAAGAAAATTCAACAGTTGCCCCATAGTCTTCAAATCAGTTGATGCCAAGAAACCCAAAGGCCAAGAACTGGTCCAGATTGAAGAACACTAGGGGATATACTTTACACAAGGTTGGGTCCTGAGGGGAAAGGGAGCTTCCAGAGACAGTGCCAGGCAACTGACTAAATTCAGAACAGTGAGTGTGCACTATGGGTTGGAGGGAAGGCAATGATTTTCCCAAAGGACCTTGCATCAATACAAACTGTACAGAGTGACTGATTATTTTAAAGGAAACTATTAATACCCTTCATATATTAAATAGTGGATTGAACACCCTTTAATGCCTTTCATATACTAAATAATGAACACCTGAGGGTAAAGACTGTGTTTTATCTGTGCCTCCAGAACCCAGAGTAGTGCTCAATGCTGTCGTGGCATAATGAGTGTCTACCAAATGAGTTCATGCCCGCTTGAAGACCATCAGCTACCAAATCAGACTCCACCTGCCAAAGCCAAAAACTTCTTCATGCATGAATATATGAAATTTATAATGGACTACATCGTATCTACTCTCATAAGTCAGATATTTAACAAATTAAGTCCATGAACAATTAGCTGAGTATTTTCTTAGAGTCAAAGTATAGTAAACACTTGACACAAATAAATGACCCTTAATTCAGAACATAATCTGAAAACAGGATATGCAGCCTTCCGCCAATACAGACCACACACCATCCCAAGTGCTCTTGATGGTAGCTATCATTCCAGAGAGCAATAGCTTCCTTTTTATTACTAGATATATGCATGATCAGAGGTGACAAAGTTGAAGAAAGTGAAACACATCTATTGAAAAATGGAAAATATACTACATGATTTCAGCAGTTGACTTCACTTTATTGATAACATCTTAGGGGTCCCTAAATTCAGTTTCTTAGCTCAAGCCATTTAATTGTAATCTGCCCACCAGTCTGTGGTATTCAGGTCTCACAAAAGCAAATATTATAGATAGTAGGAAAATAATGAATCCAAACTGAACTATTTGAGTAATTAAAAGAAACATTTTGTTTTTTTCTATTTTAGTATGCATCATATTTTTCCTATGTTCATAATCAACATAGAGAGATAACAAGTGAAGTATGTTTGGATTAAATATGGGACAATTCCCTCTCTCTTTTACATTTATTTTTATTAGTTCTTTGAAAATTTCATACAATGTGTTTAATCATATTCATCCCCCAAGTCCATTTCCCTTTCCTTACCCACCCAACTCTTTTGGTTTTCTATTTTTCAGTTTTTCAAAGTTTTTTTTGTTTTGTTTTATATCCTACAAGGCCAGTTAGAGGTTCCCAAATATTCTTAGATGTGTTGTCTTCTTCTAGTTTAAGAGTGTCACCTGGCCAGGGGTGACACTCTTAAACTTTCTCTCCATCTTCCAGCGGCTAACAGTTGTCGCTGTCCTTATAGCTTGGGTGGCATTTCGTGCCCAGCTCCCATGTACACGGTGAGGCTTTCTGTGGCTTGGGCTTGCACAGGTCTTGCACATGCTGTCACAGCCACTGTGAGTTCATATGTGCTGGCACCCTGCTGTGCCAGGAAGGCAGTTTCCTTATCCTCACCGCCTGCCTCTGGCTCTTGTACTCATCCTGTGCCCTCTCCCACAATGGTCCCTGAGTGTGTGCACTCTGTTTAGGCATCTCTGCACCTCAGACAGCTGTAGGTCTCTGCATTAAATGCCACCTCCTGCAAGTAGGAGCTTCTCTGAGGAGAGCTGAGAGATGCATTGATCTGTGGGTGTAACAATATCATTCGGATTTGGTTTAATGCTACATCCATTTAGTAAAACAATAGTGGATTCTCCCCTCCCCCCAAGATTTTGGCCCAATCATAGCACAGGTATGAGTTTCATCCTGTGGGGTAGAACTTCAATCCAATCAGAAAGTAGCTCTTACTCCTTTGATGCTAGTACAGCTTTTGTGCTGGTGGATTACTTCCCTTGGAATTCTCGGTCACTGAGGAGCTATAGACCCACAAACATTACAGGCTGTTGCCACTGTTCTTCGTTTACCCTCCCGCTCTTGATGGTAAGACCCCAATGCCAATGTTGAAGACGCTATATGCTTAGGTGTTAGAACACGGAGACATCGAGCTAGGGCTGACCTGGAAGCTTCACCACTCCTGGCGAGCTTTCATACTCCTGGAAGGTACTATGCACACTACTGGAGGAGAAAAGTGACCATCCGCCATACCCACCCGTGAACTTTAGTTAGAATCAGCCGTTAGAGATTGAAATGGTTGATGAACTCAACAACACACAAAACACAGTAAAAGACAAAAGGCCACAACAAAAGTATGCATGCTGAACGAAACAGATTTATTGGGAGACTGACAGTAAGACCCTGCGCACACAGTCCAATTAGAAACGCGCTTATGCTGATGCCGTTGAATATGGGAGAACCTGGGAAGTGAGCGACCTCCTGCACTGCCAGATTTCAGTCTCTTCTTAAAAAGCTGTGTGTCTGGCTTTCCTTAGCTGCAGATGAGTTTCGGCGCAGCACTGGCATCCTGTTCGGCATCACCAAAGAGCTATACCACTGTAAGCTGTCTACCGTCCAAGCACACGGTTGGCTGGATGACAGACATTTTTCTCAGGTTGTTCCTCGTGAAGATTAACTGGTTGAGGGTCCTGTAGTCATCAGAGCCATTGGGCCATCAGTAGGTGCTGTAGCCGAAGCCAGAGCCAGAGCCCCATGGCCTGTAGAAGCTGCTGCCATAGCAACAGCCTGGATTTTGGAAGTTACTAACACCACCGTAACAGTAGTTGCGGGAGCTGTAGATGGTTCCACAGCCGTGGTTCAGGGGAGAACCCAGAGGCACGACACAGTTCAGGGGGGTGGCTCTGTAGGTGCCATGGAAGTTGGTTCCATAGCAAGGATAGCCTGGGAAGTAGTTTCCACAGCAGAAATAACGAGTCATGGTGGCAGATGAGGAGAGAGATTTGGATAGACTGTGAAGGTCAAGTCACCGAAGTGTGAATGCCGCATCTCTCCCACACTCGACTTTTTATACCTTGAGCTGCTGGACATGACACACCAGTCACTGCACACCTCCCCCACGAATTTGCGTAAATGCACCTATTATTTCTCCAATAAAATGTGCGTCAAGAAACCCACGGACTCTTTGGCCACATTTTTGTTGGCTTTCCTGTTTACAAAGGAATGCCTGCTATCTTCAAAGCAGTGCCCATCCTTGACACACCACTGAATTCTATTCATCAGTGTCCCACATTTTAACTGCTATCCTGATTGCATCATTTGAGGCTCTAAGACTTCTGCTTATAAACTACTCCCAGTTGATATTACTTGGCTAAAAAAAAAAAGTTTTGGCAAGAACATATACACTCAAACCAAGACAGAACCATTGTCTGAGATCTTTGACTGTTTGGTAAAATAATTCTGAAAACACAAACACTATAGTTCTCATGAAATTCACTTTCTGAATCATTCCAAAACATTGGCACTTGGAAATAGAGGGCTGTTGTTTTGCTTTGTTTTACTTAGGTGGTGGAGAACATCGTTTAGCACCAGGTAAAAGTAGTGACTGCAGAACGCTGTGAATAAATTAGATATCAGAGAATTGCTGGCTTTCAACCACTTGTTTTCTTTTATGTAAATGCACCTCAATACTTTTTTTAATTTTCAAGAGCATTACTATAAAAAATCATCTGAACATTTTTTTAATTACATGAAGTTTAGGGGGAGATAGGAAGCCCATTGGTGGGAGGGCTAAGGAGCCAGAGGGAGAGACACATTGTATACATGTATGAATTTTTAAATTAAAAATGAACAAATCTTTTCATAAAAGCTGTAAAGGTACCACATAATAAGATGGCTCAGGAAAATCTACCAGTCATTTTCATCTGTCTCCTTTACAAGCATCTTTCTTGTTAACACATATTTTATTTTTTATGGAGAGCATCCAATCCTTACTTGTAAATCATCCTAAACATTGACAAACTGTCTTGTGGTAGAGTTGTGCTGGCAGTGAGGGGAAGGGTGCCCTTTGCAAAGTCACGTTGGACCAATTTTAGGTCTCAGTGGCTGGTAGTAAACCAAGCCTGAGTGCCACTGACCCAGTTAAAAGATGTAAGTTAAATCTCAGAATGCAGGATGCTCCCTCCTGCTGCCCACTGTGTTACGTGCAACCATTCCTTGTGATAAAGGACTCATCCCAAATTTGTACCAATTTAAGCATTCAATGAACGGCCATGCTCCTGTGTGAATAAAAATCTGTGTTCATTAAAAGGAAAAGTAACAAAGTTGCTGGGTATAGCTGGACCTTACAGTACATGACTACAATCATGTGCTTCGGGTTCAAAGCCAGCCTTGGCTACTGAGTGAGAGACTACAAAAGCAATGCTGTATGGATATAGATTGATTTTTTATTGTAAAACCATGGGATCTGTTAGGCAAAATGAATTATTCCTACCAGAACTGATTTACTGGGATTCTTTCTTGGGTTCTGTGGGAAGGAGGAGGAGAAAAAGAAAAAATCTACAGAACATCTTGTAAGAAGTTGTCACTTCATAAAATTATTGTGTGTTGTGAGTGTATTTATAGGAAATAAAACCATCTTCTAATTCATTTTTATGAAAAAGAATGAATTAATAATAGATACTTTACCATTTTAATTCATTTACTGGTGTGTGTGTGTGTGTGTGTTTGTGTTGTCTCACATAGACCTAGAGGAAAACCAAATACTATTGTTCTGCTAAAGGAGCAAAGCAATGAAATGACTCCTAATGACATCCTGTTATATCCATAGGTCAGTGTCTCACTCATCAGAGAAGCTTCCTCCTGCAGTGGGTGGGAACCTATAGAGAGACCCACAACTGTAGCAGGTGGGAACCTATAGAGAGACCCACAACTGGACACTGTGCAGAGCATGACAGCCCATGGAACACTCAGTCTGAAATGAGGTCCCTCCATCATTCCCTCCTCTTGGGGCTCAGTGAACCCTATAGAAGAGGAGGTGGAAAGAGTGTGAGATTCAGAGGGCATGGAGAATACCAAGGAAGCAAGGCCCTCTAAGTCAACAGGATCAGCCCATGAGCTCAGAGAGACTGGGGGAGTGTGCCCACGGTCTACACAGATCCGAGCCACATCGGGTCCCTGCACTGAGAGGGGAAGGTGGACACAAGCTCCCATCCCTAACCAAGAAGCTACCACCAATGGACAACTGCTTACAAAGGAAAAAATAGTTTCTCTGATGGAGTCACCCTGAGTATACCTGAGGGTGGGCTCATGCCCTGCAGTAGACGGTCAACACAAAATGAACTCAATGGTATTTTTGGAGGTTCCTGTGTCTCATAATGCCTTGTCTGGGAACCTTTTTCTTACCTTACTGGTCTTTTGAGTGGGTGTGTGTGCTTCATACTTTTTCTTTTGCTATGATTTTGGCTGTTTTGTTTTATTCGGGTTTGTTTATTTGTTTGATTTTTTGCTGATTTGTTTTTGTTTTGTTTTTTGCTTTGTTTTAAGACAGAGTTTCTCTGTGCAACAGCTCTGTCTGTCCTGGTGCTTACTTTGTAGACTAGGCTGGCCTTGAGCTCACCAAGATCTGCACACTTCTGCCTCCCAAGTGCCGGGATTACAGGTGAAAGCACTCGTGAACTAAAAATGAACTTTTGACTGCTAGGTAGTTTCTTCTGCTACATCATTGGAACCTGCAATTTAGATAGGCTTGACAATGGTATTTCACTTACAGAGTCTGCACTTGGATGGGCTTCTCCAGGGGAAATCAGGTGAAGAATCTCCAAAGGGATGTGTTGACAATTCAGGATTCCAGGATCAACCCCTCAAAAAAAAAAAAAGATTTTAGAAGCTGTTACTCTTAGTTCCTCAGATAATTTTCATAAATAAAACTATTCTCATAAACCTTAGGGTCAGTCTCTCCAGAGATGCTAAACAAACATCCTTGCCTGACCACTGTGTGAGGCAGCCCTGGGCTGTGTGTATCTCGCATGGGAAGGAGTGTTTCGCATGCATTGCAAGTGTCCCCTTCCCTTCAACTCTGGTTGATAGAGATAAACAACAGAAAAACCTTATTTGTCTTTTCCATTCCCTTCTGCTCGCTGCTTCCTGTCTGATCAGAAATGTAGGGCAGGCTAAGAAAAGTCCGGACATCTCCCCAGAGAAAAATGCCCCTGAATAGCCCCTGCTTTGGTTAATCAACTCAGAAGGAAAAAGGCTCAATTTTTCCCATTTGCTTGTTGTCCTGTGTCCTGTTAGGCTTTCCTGCAGCAAATTCTCAGCCAACTATACTATTATTATTCAATATTAGTTTTTTATTCTAAATATTAGTGATTATGAATGTTCATGGAGATCTCATTTTGTGTTAAGCCCTGCTCTAACACTACATGTAATATTTATTTATATATTTTCCAAATAGAATGCTAGATGGTAAATACATGAGATGCACTGCACATTCATCCAAGCACTTGACAAACGCTAGTTTATTTAATTTTTATAGTGGTCTTATGATGTGAGTTTATGGCATTTTTTTATGAAGACTGATTCCAAAACGCTGAAGAAAACTGCCTAAGGTGACGTACCTACGACTCAGCAGAATCAAGCCCCTATGATCTACTCCACAGCATATTCCTAGCTGCTTCACCATGCTGCATGTGAGATGTCATTAAGACTTTAAAAGGGGCCAGCTTGTAAAGCGTTTCAAATACATATCTTATTGTGTTGTTTCCTTGAATGTACCAGCCAGTAAAGGCTCATTTTAGCTGCAGGAGCAGGCAACCCCAAATGGCCATGCTTTGAAAGACCTAAACAATCCCATACCCACATCACTCATATTCCCCAGGCTGGTGAGTGTCTCAGGTGCCCATAATTACTATCCAAAGACTTAAGGCAGAGCAGAGCTTTCATGACCTGAAATATCTCAGGCAGGGAAGCCTGCCACAAACAGCACTCACTCACTCCTGAAGAGTTGCTGCGGACATCAAGCATAGTTCCCCTCCTCCTCTCATTTCTGGAGGTCTAGCCGCTTCCCAGTTTCCAGGTTAAAAAGTGCAGCACTACCTCATACAAGCAGAACATTCAAAATGTGTCCATTGACAGTAGTGACCCCCCACAGACAGCTTAGATTCTTTATACAGACTAAACAGCTCAACCATACTTTAAAAGAAGGGATATACCACCACTGTACTATGCCACATAAATAACACACTGTCATGGTTTGAGACCAAGAAGTGTAGGCTTTAAAACAAGATGACCTTCTACCGATGCCCACATGGTGCCCAGGAATTATATTTGACCCAAAATCTAGTTGATTCCTGTATGTTCTTGAGACTGTGCCAACCCTGTCCCAGTGTAGAGCAGGGCAGCACACAACACTCACTGGAGAGTAACCAACCAAAGGTCACACTTGACCCAGTAGAGGACAGCTCCTGCCTTCCCACCTCGGTGAGGAGACCATGTTTGGCCCACCCGCTGGGGCAGCTGCACAGACTCCAGAAAAGCCACTGAAGAATTCATAAACCTTGATGAGATCAGTGAATGTGAGGGACGAAGTGTGGACTGTATAACTGCATCCACAACCACTGTGTCCCACACGAGCAGTATCCTAACACATGGTCATCATGAGAGCTCTCTCCCTGTGAGAGCATCTCCATAAAATCAGAAGAGGTGGGAACACAGGGACACAAGAAAAACCAAGGAAACGTGACACCACCAAAGACCCATGTACACTCTCTACACCTGACTACAAAGACAGGAAATTGCTGTAAAAGGATTTCAAAATAATGATCCCCCGTGAGACGTTCAGTGAGATCCAGCAAATACGGACAGGCAGTGCAGCAAGGTTCACAAAACGGCATTGATCTGAACAAAGACGCCAACAGGGAACCAGAGACCACTGACTTTTTCATTTTGGAGGGGTGAAGACCCTAAATTAGCACAGTCAAA